CTGCAAGTCAAGGCGAATCTACCTGTGCTATGGCCTTTCTTCTAAGGCACCTCTGGGAGGACTCGATCCACCAACTTTTCAGTGGGCAGTGAGTGTGTTAATCATTTGCCTCACCTGGGGCTTCCAAAGTGACGTCACTATCCCCATTTTTGAGAGAGAGTGGAGCCCCGGAGGAGAACGGAAGCTTCTCGGATGTAGGGGAGGACAACTCCAGGAGCTTTGCCGAGTTTCCTCTCCAGGAAGAAAGCAACAACCTAAAATTATGTACATTTCAGAGGACTACAGAATCAATCTCTGGTGTGTCTGTGACGTAACCCACCCTGTGGAGGAACTTGCTCGTTTTCACTGGTCTCCACCTTAGCACACTCGAGGTCCTTTCCTATGACAAGTCGCTACGCGTCGGGATTCACTCGAGAGCAGTGAGTGGGGGTTTCACTGGTCTGGGTCGCTAACCCACAGCATACCCAAAGACCGCTGGCCCTGTAACCACACCCTGACCCCACACTGGCATCCCAGTCCATTTCCTTGGGAAGAAAACTTGTTTCAGCCCACTCACAGGGATCTGCAGAGTCAAGGCCTGCCGCGGATGTGCTGCAGGAAGGGTCCTGCGGGCCTCTTCTTAGCAGCCCCTTTCTGGGTGCTGAGACCATGGTAAGTCATGGCTGCAGATTCAATAGAACACTTTGTTACCTGGAAGGATCATCATTATTTTTTCGTTTTAAAAATCGTCCGGGCTATTTTTCCAGATGAATACCCCTCCCTCCCAACAATATACAACGGAACTGCATTAACTTTAATTATCTATTAAATTGTTGGAGCCCTGGTGGCGTAATGGGTTAACGTGTTGGACTGCTAATGACACAGTCAGCGGTTCAAAACCAGCAGCTGATCCATGGGCAAAAGAGGAGGCTTCTACTTCCATTAAGAGCTACAGTCTCAGAAACCCACATAGCGCATTCTACTTTGGCCTAAAGGGTTATTATGAGTTGGAATAGAGGCAATGGCAGTGATATATATAAAATTAGGGGAGAATGGGAATTTTCATTACTGGCATATTAAATTTCTGCTCAAATCTCATCGCTTCGAGGCCCTTTCACTACACATCTTATGTAAGGTAATGCCGTGGTCACTCTAGCTCATTAAACCAGTCTGTTTTTCTTCCTGGCATTTATCACTAACTCAACTTATACTATTATATTTTGATATCTTATACTTAAAGGTTTATTGTCTTCTCCTAGATGGTAGTTTTGTTTTCAACAGAGACCCAGTAATTTAGCATTTTTGATACTGTCAAAAAAAAAGTTTTCAATTCTATTTTCTGTTTGTTACGGTTTGCAGTGTGTCTCCTCTCAAGTCATGTTACTGAATCCCATCAATTCTGAAACAAAATTCAAGATTCATGCCCCCGCCCTCCCAGCAAAAAACAACAACAAACCCAACTACGCAAATAATGAGTCTCTTTTCTTCTTCCTATCTTCTTGCTCTGACCCAAACCTCCAGGACGAATCTTCACAGCAGTAAAAATAGGCACCCTTGCCTGGGTCTAGACTTGAAAGTTCTGTAGGTGTGAGACCAGCTGATGGTGTGGATCAGGAGACAGACTGAATCTTGCCAAGGAAGTTTCTGATCCTAAATGGCTTTGTCTTATTCCACCAAGAAAGGCTGATAATGTCGGGCTTCTTTTTGATTAATCTACAAAAGTAACACAGACCGTCAACAGATTTCCTAAGTTGACCTGTTATATAACTAAAATAGCAGATTATGTTTTATCTGAAACACCAATGAGTACAACCTACACCTGTAAGGCACAGTGTCTAATTGTAATTTTGTTTGTGGAGCCCTGGTGCTGCAGGGCTTTGCGATGGGTCTGCAGTGGGAGCCCACCAGCTGCTCGCAGCTGGTACAGTCAGTCTCAGAAGCGCACAGGGCCCCTTCTATTCTGCTCTCTAAGGGTCGCTATGAGTCGGAATCGACTCAATGGCCGCGAGTTTGGTTTGGAGTTTTATCCAGCTTAGTAAGAGAGAAGGTAGAGAAAGTGCTGTCATTAATTCATATACCATAAGAGGTGAATCAGGCATGACGAGTCTGTGCAGAATAATCAGCAATCAGATGTAACGGTTTCCCTGTGTGTGTCACACTAGTGCTGTGCTTCACAGAGTCGTCAAGGGCCAGACTTTCCGAAAGTAGACTGCAAAGCCTTTCTGAGAAGGTGTCTCTGGACGGACTTGAACCGCCAACTCTTGGTTGTAGCTGAGTGCATTAACTGCTTTGCAACTGTTAACACTGTAACTGTTACATTGCTAAAACAAAAATAACATTCTGATGTAAGTGAAATTCTAATCCATTTGTTAAAAGCTATCATGGTTACATTGCAGTTTTATATAATGAAGAGTTTTATTTAGGTTAATTGAGGAATGCACCGTTGCTTGCTTTGGTTTTAGCTAGCCAAGAATAAAAATCAAGACTCAAGCCTTGGATTTTTAACTATTCCTTGCCCACCACCTGTCTTGCAGTTGGTCAGGTTGCAGTGGCTTGCATGTGACCGTGTCTCTGTGTGATGAGACAGCCAAGGCGCTGGGGTTTCACACACCAGCAGGGGTCACCATGCTGGATACGTCACAACAGAGCTTCCAGGCCAGGGGTGCTCAATGCGAGCCGATTGCCACCTGCTAGTCAATCGCAAATGTAGTGTGGGTAAATTGCATGGCATTAAAAAAAATTGACGTATCAATCTCGTCACTTAATTGATACAGCACAGCCAATCAGATGGAATCTTAGGTGTCAAACGCATGCGCAAACAACTGCATTAAGTGCAGCAAAACTGACAAGCTAAGTTGCCGCCAATTTTTAGACCTTGGTTTTTTCCCCCTCTTAAACGTAAGAAAGGGTATTAAAATGAGTGGGGGAGCTGGACCAACTAAGAAGACAAAAACGTATCACTTTCATACGGAATGGGAGATTTTGACACAACAAGCCGACATTCAGCTGCACGAACAGTTCTGGAACTTACTCGCAGAGGGAAAGTACCCAAACATGAGAAACTGTGTTACCTCCTTGACTGCATTATTTGGCTCTACTTATTTCTCAGTCAGCCTTTTCCCATATAAAGATCGTTAAGTCCAAGTACTGTTCCACCACGACGGATGATCATTTGGAAGTGTGCTTGAGGCTGGCTGTCAGCAGCTCCTGTCCGGACTATGCATCCCTGGCTCATTCCATTCAGTGCAAGTCAACAGTCAACTCGGGTCATGACCAAAAATGCACGCAGTTAATTGTGTTGTGTTGTGCAATATGGACTCATGCGGCTATGCAAGGTACATAAACATACATTGCACATATAAAGAATTCTCAATGCATTTATGAATAAATATAATAAATACATAAATAAAATTTGTATTTTGGCATTTTGTAGCTGGTGGATCATTTTGACGTGCATGCTGTTTCTAACATCTAACCCACTGCAAAATCTGAACCAGTCTAGATCTATTCATTCTTTCCTCGCAGTAAGCAGTCACTACCTACATTGGGGTCATTAATCTATTCCTCAACTATCCAACAGCCACCAGCATAAGCCTCACTGCTTTCCTTCATCAATCCACTCTTCAGTGCTGCTAGAATTAGCATTCTGAAATACAATTCTTATGAAACTAAGTAGCAACAAACACCTTCGAAGGGCCAGCCTCAATGATCCCAAACTCACTGTTTTCTAACTGCGGACCCTGTGGGTAGTAGCCCAACCTGTAACCCCCTGTGCCACCAGGGCTCCTGGATCAGAGCTCTCACTGCTACGCGGTGGACTCTGATACAAGCAACCCTGTAAGACAGAGTAGAATTGCCACTGTGGGTTTCTGAGACTCTGAATCTTTTAAATTATTTTATTGGGGGGCTTTTACAGCTCTTATAACAATCCATGTATCAATTGTATCAAGCACACTTGTACATGTTGCCATTTTTCAAAACATTTTCTTTCTGCTTGAGCCCTTGGTATCAGCTCATTTTTCCCTCCCACCCTTGTGAACCTTTGATAAAATTATTTTCCTATCTTACACCATCCGCTGTCTCCCTTACCAACATTTCTGTTATTCGTCCCCCTAAATGTTCTATGTCAATCACTGAGATTGGTTCCCCTTTTCTCCCCCTACCTTCCCTCTACTTAGGTGCCCAGATTTTAACATTGGTAAAGCGGGACACCATTTGATAAAACTCATATCCTGGCGAAATAGTCACATGGCAGCCAAAAACCATATACCCTAGCTTGTCGTGCATTCTTTCAAATATCGGGACTTTTTAAAAACGCCGCGGGACACAGGAAAAATTGTTTAAAAGGGGGACGTCTGGTCACCTTACTCTACCCTCATGGTATCGCTACTCCCATTACTATTCCTGAAGAGTTTATCTGTCCTGGATTCTGCATGTCGAGAGCTCTATCTGTACCAGTGTACATGCTCCGGTCTAGCCGGATTTGTAAGGTAGAACTGGGGTCATGATAGTGGGATGGAGGAAGCATTAAAAAACTAGGAGTGTTGTGTGTTTCATTGTTGCTATAATGCACCCTGGCTGACTCGTCCCTTCTTTGTGACCCTTCTGTGAGATGATGTCATTGTCTACATATGGGCTTTGGTCTCTACGCCGACCCCTCTTGTTCACCTCAATATAGACTCTAAATCTTCATGGGGCTAAAACCCCTCAGTTTTCTGGCAGGTTCTAACTGCAGAACTTGTAACCAACTACCTCATCAGGGAAAAGCCTGAACTTTTAACTTGGTATTCCAAGACTTTTGGATCCAAACTATCTTGCCAGTCTTCTTAGCCATACCACTTCAAAAGAGACTATTTGTTATTCTGCGAAAATACTGAACTCACCATCTCCAGAACCCATTTTTGTCCTCTGCATTTCACATCTCCTTACCTTTTGTGTAGTGGTTACACACTGGGCTGCTAACTGTAAGTCAGCAGTTCAAAACCATCAGCCACCCCACAGGAGAAAGACAAGGCTTTCTACTCCCATAAAAAGCTAGTCTTGGAAACTCACAGGGGCAGTTCTACCCTATCCTACAGTTTCATTGCTTGAGTATGAGTTGCAGTCCACTAAACGGCAAAACCAAAACTCATTTGGTTTTGGTGCAATTGCTCAGATCCTACCTTCTGCTCAGAGAACTCTTATCGATCTCTGTCCAGAAATGTCACACTTCAAATATCCTTTCACCAAGTCTTTCCTTAGACACCAGACATGCTTCCTCTGTTACCTCTATGGTCTCAGAATTTTACTGCTGAAATCACCTCATCAGGCCTGGCTTAAGGATCTGAAGTTGGATCTAAATTGCTTGATCGCCTTGATTATTAAGTTTAGTCTTTACAGATCTCTTAAGCCATGCCTGCCCTCCTTTCATAGCACTTTATCATTTGGGACCTTGTATTTTAGTTAGTTATGTAAGTGTCTGCTTCTCAATTCAACTGTGGGAGACCTATCATTAAATGTATGCCCAATAAAGAATACTTACATGAAGTTGAAACTTAGCTGTCTGAACCAAAAAAACGTTGTTTCAACAAGGTTGAACTCAAGGTTCACCCACAGCTTCATGAGACAAGAAGAATGGCTGGATCCCCTCACCTCTCAATAAATGTCCTCTCATTAAACTTCCTGAACCCAACTAACGATTTCACCACCACTGCCAGTCCCGAAGGCAACAAGAAGATTTCATAAGGTAATGCATGTAAAACACCTCACAGTCTGGTATCAAATTTCTGGCGTGTAATCTTCAGTCTTCCTCTCCTTGCTCGCAATGCCATGACCCTCTGCCTTACAGTCTTCTATCCCTCACTTACAGGGTAAAGTTCAAACCACGTAGTACGGCCTTGAGAGCACTTCACAGTCTAGGTTCCAAGGCAGACTGCTTCCCACCAACACCTGTCACAGTAAACAGCACATGGCTCCTTAAATACCCAAGGTCCTTTTAAACTGGTGGCTTAGTGGATTATGTGTTGGGCTGCTAACCACAGGCTAGCAGTTTGAACTCACCAGTCACTCTGTGGGGAAACGAGGCTGCATGCTCCCATGGTGTGGAAATCCAAAGAGGCAGTTCTACTATGTCCTACAGGGTTGCCGAATCACAAGCAGCTCAATGGCAGTAAGTTTTGTTTTTAAAATTGTTTAAAAGGAGCCCTTCTGGCATAGTGGTTAGGCACTTGGCTCTAAATTAAAGGTCAGCAGTTCAAACCCACCAGCTTCTCTTTGAGAGAAAGATATGAAGTTTATGCCCATACAGATTTATCACCTTGGAAGCCTATGGGGTGAAGCAGGGCAGGTCCACCCTGACCTATAGAGTTGCATAGTTGCTATGCCTTAGAAACCACTCAATGGCAATAGGTTTGAGGTACAGTAGTTTAAAAGCACAGATTTAAAAATCAAGATGACCTGGGCTCACATTCTTTTATCATCAGGGGCTGTTTCCTATCCAGGGCATGGAAAGACCAATCGTTATTTCAGAGTTGAGGCGAGGCTCAATGGAAGAATGCATTCTGTTTGGCATCCAGTAAAGCTTGACACAGTTCCAAACCAAAAAGAAACAAACCCACTGCCATCCAGTCAGTGCTCACTCATAGCCACCTTATAGGACAGGGTAGAACTGCTCCTGTGAATTTCCAAGACTGGAACGCTACAGCAGCAGTGGTTCTCAACCTGTGGGTCGTGACCCCTTTGCAGGTCAAAAGACTCTTTCACAGGGGCCGCCTGATTCACAAGAGTAGTAAATTATAGTGATGAAGTAGCAACGAAAATAATTTTATGGTTGGGAGTCACCACAACATGAGGAACTGTATGAAAGGGTCGCAGCATTAGGAAGGTTGAGAACCCCTGCTTCACAGGGGTTAGAAAGGCCTGTCTTTCTCCCCCACAGGGGCTGCTGACCTTGCCATTAGCATCCCAACTCATCAGCACAGGGGCTCAGGATTTTATACCGTCGTTCGCTCCCTCAGCCC